GCCAAGTTTGCTGAAAATAAGGGCAAGACGCTTTGTTCTTTGCTTGTATTCACACGACTATTTCAAACAAGAAATAAAGAACGCAGTATTTTTCGCTCAGTTTACTTAGGTTTCTAGATCATATGTACTTGTACGTGCGTACTTGAAAAATGACCACGCTACGCGCCTGGTTAACATAGGGTGTAAGATATCAACTTACTAGTTTAGGGTTTTCTCTGAGGTACTGGACCAATATTTGTCTTAATTCATCATGCTCGATTTTGATTCTCATAGCAATTTCCAGTTGATCTGACAAAGCATAGAACATGCAATTTCCAGATCCTTCATTGTCAACAATTCTGAAGCCCTTGTCCGAAGCAATTTTCTTCAACTCAAGTTTTAGGTCTCTCTTGTCATTGACTTTGCTTGCATCGGGTTTCATCTGCTGAAGCTGAGCAATAAACTCAACAGAACCTTAGTGGACAAACGTATGAATGAACAGACGATAAGTACCACCCTGCCTGTGATTTAAGGAGGAATAAAAACTTGTCGGTGAGTGTTAATCATTAAGCGTCCTTTTCACTCATGATTTCTGAATTTGTAGTATAGGATTTCAATATGGAGTATAATGAAACAACCTCTTTGATATTTATAAGAGGGTTTACAAAGCGATGGATACCACCATAGTTAGTAGAGGGTCCCCTCTACTAATTATGATACCACCGTAGCCCAATGAGAATTTATAGAGATGACCCGTGCATAATTTTTCTGGAACAGTTTTTTACAATAACTATCATAATTCAAGAAACTCAATCGTTCTCTGTAACAAATACCATTTAACACATGATGTGAACTGTGGGGGACCGGCTCCTTTGTTGATCTTGCATGATCTTGTCTACGACTGAAGGATACTTGAAAAAGTTCAACCATGGCATCAACGATGACCTGTGCCTGAAAGAAAAAATAGCACAAGCATAGAATATTTTAATGCGTGGGCAAATATCTACTAGGCAATTTTTAGGATTAAATGTTTTGAAAGATTATATTCAGATGCATTCCATCTTATCAAAAATTGAGGAGAGTCTCTCCACTGAGCCTTAACTTCAAAGTGCATGTACAGTAGATTGTAAGCGTTTTTTTCCAATTAATTGATCAAGTTATAATTTTCATGGTTCCCGATTGAAGTTTTTCACCTCGATGATTTCTTTTCAGTGAGAAATCTTACCCCCAGAAAAGCACAAAAACATACATAATATGATAAACTGAAACAATTGTTGGGGTATTGTCTCAGGACTAATGAATGTGTCTATAAGATCTGAGATTCAAAATTTGACATGAAATACATCGATTCCTCCTGTATATCTTTGAACACGTAAATAAGGATCTTAGTATTACCAGTTAATCTACATGTTAAGTCTACTGTCAAGCCTTTGGCTCTTACTGCTAGAGCTCATCCCATTTTCAACCGTTTGCACGGCTTCTTACCCTAGTTGAATGCTAGGACATCACAGTTGGCCCCTGCAGCAATTGGGAAGCTGTAATTATTAACAGTTCTAATAACCTCTTCCTACCCCCAGGTGCAGGGTTGAGGCTTGACTGTGAGTACTGAGACTCATCTTTACCATTAGTGACTCACCTATACTCAGGTCTCTATCCCGGACCAAAGCATCAAGCCACAGTGTCTACCACATGCAGTTCCAGTTAAATTAGTTAATAAAGCAAATTTTTTGGCTCCTGCTCTTACATTTTCTTCTGACTTCAAAGCATAAAACTGATATCCAGTGGGGCAATTGGGCTGGCTGCATACATAGCCAAATATTTTGCTCTCATGGTGGTCAAGAGTGACATATGATATTATCTTGACAGGATGTACATACTGCACTTTCTGGTTAATTAGAAAATGAATAAATCAGTTAAAACCTATTGAAACACACGCAAAACAATATATACTTATAATTTCAATAAGTACAGATAGAAGGGACCATTCACTGTCTCTAATTTCCCTTTGGCTTCTGTCGAATCCTTCCTCCATCAGTTAACTCCCAAGCAATTTGTGACTTGGATGGATAGATGAATGAATAAACAGTATTTTATTGGATGGATAAGCCTGTGACCATGCTTCAAGGGTAACTTAACAAATGATTTGGTAAGATGCAAAAAGCATTTAATGCTAGTACAATAGCTCTTGTAGATTCTCAACATTTGTTTCAGGAAAAAGTGAAAGTAATATTTTAGTGGGTGAGATTTAAAAGTTATAGCTAATTTCATATTTCATCACTATAATTATGTTAACTTAATTACCTTGGCCAAATAATATTAGCATTTATGCACACATACTTGGGTATTTTCATCCACTATCCTGACACCTGCCAAACTAACAAACAGTGCCACCTTCTGTTTATGCTCTCTCTTTTTCTTTGCCTGCACCTAATTTTAGCAAACAAATGCAAATTAAGTAGTTGTAGTGTACTAAAAAATCTCAGACTGTTTATGAGGTACTAAAAAATCTCAGACTGTTTATGAGGTATTAATAAGTTGGTTCACCTGAAAACATTTGCAAAAGCCAAATAGGTGGCTAACTCTAGAGAAAACTGATACTATCATCAATGGACTGAGAAGGTAGTAATTATTCAGCTACCAAGGCTTTTATATCCATCAAATCTCCCAAAATAACCGGCACTAATTTTTAAGACAATACTTCACTCACATTTGTAACAATTTCTCAGACATTAGCCTCATAAAAGTATTCTGAGAGATTTCAGATACAATAAATAGAATTGATATAACAGTCAAGAAATTTTATAATTTAATATTGCAACTGCCATCAAGACTGTAATGAAATTTTAGCTTAACCTTCAAAGTAATTATAAAGCAGTTGTCAAAAGTTTAAGTTGGGATCTTTTGTAACAATAATTATCAGACAATCAAAATAATTGGGATATCATCATTCAAAATTTTCATGGAAAGACACATAAACAACCAAAAATTCCTCCTAAAATTAACAAATTATTAAAAAAGTATAGTTTTGATGAATGTATCAGCTACTCAGGTACCTTTAATTGCTTAAAAGCCTCAGCACACATATCCCCACCCTCGTGACAAACAACATCTGTTATGCCTACAAGCTTTGAATTAACAGCAAATAATACAGTGTCAAGCAAATTTCAATTTTACCTTGTACAGAAGTTGAACATGAAGCTCAGCTCTCTCATCCTGACTATATAAATTGTTTCTCAGATACAGGACATTAATTTCTCCCTCTTGTGTTTCCAACAGTCATATAATTCAAAGTATATCATGGGATTTTTTTCATGTGAGGGAGGGGAGATGAAGTGAGTTTAACCTAAAACTAATTGTGAATTTTTATTAAAATTTTAAATTAGGTGCATACCGTAAATAATTTAAGGTGAAACTGAAACACAAATGTGGGGAGGTAACACAATCTAGTCACTCGTGCTGCCTTTAACCATGTATTTCTGTGCAACAGTTATGACTACTAATATCAAACCTTAGATGGACATCTTGCTGAAAAATTATGGTCAAATAGGGTAATTTGACTCCAAGAGAAAAACCAGAAAAACTATTAAGGCTATATGACTATATGGATCAGACCTTGCAATTAAATTTGGTTCCTTCTCCTCCAAATGTCTGGTCATAAAAATAAGAACTTCCCATGTCCTTAATATAATTAAAAGGAAGAGAAAAAAAAAATCAAATAATTAAAGGCACTATTAGACAAAAATGCTGTTGTTCCCATGCATAAAACAACTCAAAGGAGTCAAGAGCAAACTGTTAGACTTATAATGACACAACATGCAATGCATATATGTTCCAAGTTTCTCTCGGTAAGTTCACAATTGGTCCAATATGATACTCTCATACCAGAAGCCCCTTATAAGTTGGGAAAAGATTAGTAATTCATTTAAGTAAATGCCTGACACAGCGGGGAAAATTAAAATTAAATTGTGTGTGATGGAAGTTAAAAATTGACGGTCTATCTCTGATACATCTGCACCTACTTATGGATGTTCCATCAGCTTGATCATCAGCATGGCTCAGTAGTGATCTTGCACATCGACCATCATCGTCAATCTGCTCTTCCACCTCCTTCTTTGGACCTTGTTTCCTTGACGGTTCGTTTTTTAGCGCCTCGCTAGGCTTCTCATCAATGCAGTTTAATGGTAGAAAATTATCTACAGTAACAAAGATTGCGTGATCTTTCCGACAAACAAAGCGTTGAAATTCATTCCTTCTACCGTTTGCCATTCCAATTTTTTCATCCTAAAAAGAATACACATTTTGGAACTCAAACGCGGTCAGCTTTCCAATCACATTTTAACAATATATTCAATAATGACTTAAAATTTACTTTACCACGAAAAATGAATTACTGAATGACACTCATGCAAAGGTCAGAGTGTGAAATTATATTATCATGATTATTATTAATGTCATTATTTCTGTTTCATTATTACTATTATTATTATAATTGTCATTATTATGATTATTGTCATTATTATCGAAGACACCTGAGCAAGTCTTTAAACAGCACGAAAATGAGAAGAAACGAAAGTATGCCAGTAGAGTATTGGAAATAGAGCAAGGATCCTTCACGCCCCTGATCTTTAGTACCACCGGAGGCCGGGATGGGCACTGAATGCAAAATTTACCATAAACGCTTAGCTGAACTCATATCCATTAAGAAATGTGAAACATACTCCACCACTATGTCCTGGATTAGAGCCAAAATCTCCTTTGTGATCTTACGATTCGCCCTCTTATGCTTAAGAGATACAAGAAAGAAGAGAAGAGCATTTGAAACATTCGATACAGATTTTTTAATTGACAATGCTATGGCAAATATAGGCTAGACATTTTTAAAATTTGTTTTTATACTTACAGTTTTTTAGAGTAAGAGTGTCCTTTCCCTTCTCATATATTTTTTTTAATTTAATTTACTTTTATAAGGATAATTTCGATACACGTTTTCTGAAATTCTTTCAATACGAACTAGTAGTTGCATTCGCGATTTTTATATGTAGGTCATTTTTGTTATCAAAGTTAGTTTGGGTCTGATACGAGTCTGATCCTAGAGAACCGAATTATTATGATTATCATTGTTGTTGTCATCATTGTCATTATTATTATTAATATTATTGTTATTACTATTCGAATTCTTATTGCCATTGTTGTTGTCTATGCAAGAGCTTTACATGGTAATTGTAATTTAGGGCCCGTTTACATGGAAGTGGGGGACCTCAAGGTAGGTGAGGTAACCCGCCTGTCCATATAATTTCTTAATTTATCTTGATAACATTTACATGATGGGTGAGATGATCCGCCCAGGCGGGTTTCCCGATCTGTTAGGTAGGGCAGCCCTGTCAGCCGGAGTGACAATTTGCCATGTCAACGTCTCAAGATTTGGGTAAACCGCCTAGCCGGCGTCACCGTTCATGGCAAAAAGCTCAAAAGCGA